GGCTTGGTGAAGTGGTGGTAGTGGGGAGTCCTCCAGGTGGCCCAGAGAGTTGGGGAGTCTGGGGCTGGATAGGAAGTCGGGGGGCCAGGCCCCGAAATGCCCCACTGTAGCTACTGTACATTTGACTTGACTACAGAGGAAATAAGTGGGGGGGGGGGGGAGTGCCTGGGAAGGCCCTGTAAAAAATTTAAACTGGCCTGGAATCTAGGGTTATTTTTGTTCACTTTTCTATGATTCTTTAAAGACATATATTAAGCGTCACTTTTTCACAGTTTTTCTTGTTCTCCGTATTATCTCATTACTGTGCCAATATATTGTTATTATACCTGGAATCTAGGGTTGCCAACCTCCACATATCACTTGGAGACCCCCGGCTCTTACAATTGATCTCCAGATGACGGAGATCAGTTCCGCTGGAGAAAGTGGCTACAGAAGAAAGGAATGCAGACAGGAAAAGCTGTTCTGTTTGCAATAAAGTTATTGAAAAAAGGCATGGAGTAACTGGCATTAATTTGACACGGTGTCAGAAATCACACCCACACCCTAGATGACCTTGTATGGCATAAGGACCCTCATGAACTATCAAAGAAAGCAGAAGAAGCAAAAGGAAGAGAAGAAAGGAAAACAAGGCCTAGTGTTGTGAAGTTTTCTCCCCCAGAGGCCATTGACATCAGGATGCTCTGCCCTGAATGGACACCATGTTTCTCCACATACAGGATTGCTACAAAACTAAATGCAGAAGTTTATGTGACTAACACTGGAACACCGCCTCCAGTCTTCCGGGCACATCGGGCAAGATGCCAATGCGCTGATATTGCAGTCCTACACAGTATTCTTTTAAGGAAAAATAATAATAAGGGTGTCAGGATCCATTACTGAATCTGTTGTGTGTCAGAGACTCTGCTGACTGCTTCTTGGAGGTGAGAAGAGCAGTACAGGAACTGAGGCCTCTCTGAGCACTTCCCTACGGCAAACTGCAGGCTGGGGGATGATAATAAAGGGTTTGCATTTCACTCCTTGACAGAATATCACACCTCAGGGGACAGGCTTACGCCCTTCCTTAAAAACAAATCCAATAGCCTGAAATGGTTAATTAAGCAAACCTCCAAATACATATAATTTTTAAAAACTTAATTTTTCCCATAAATTACTTATATACAAACTACGTAATAAACAATTATACATACAATTATATATACACAATCTACACAATAAACAATTATACATACAATTATATATACACAATCTACACAATAAACATTACATATTAAGTTGGTCAAAGAATATGATACAACAAAAAAACACTAAACACACTTCAGCCAACTCCCTTCCCGAGTGGTTCAATAAAATGACTTCTGATTAATATAAAAGGTCACATATGAACATATCCAAATATCTCATATATCAGAAAAGTCTCCTTATGCTTACTACATATTGTAGACTTGTAATTGAGTTGGAAGTGATGTGAATTTTTACAGTCTACATTCATGACAAGGATTCTTTGAAGTCTTGTCACTAGTATACGAGGGGTAGCCCACATGATGATGGAAAGTGCCATCAGTCACTGCTGACTTATGGTGATCCCTGTAGGGTTTTCAAGGCTAGAGATGTTCAGAGGTGGTTTGTCATTGCCTGCCTCTGCATAAGGACCCTGGTATTCTTTGGAGTTCTCCCATTCAAATACTAGCCAGGGCTGACCCTGCTTAGCTTCTGAGATCTGACAAGATAACTTCACCAAAAAATTGGTAGGATAACATTTGTATGAGAATCCAACAGTATTTGAGACTAGCTGGACAAATTCTGCCATGGTCCCAATCCAAATCAGATCCCTGCAGTCTGACTGCAAGTCCACATGGCAGTCATGTAGTAAACATTAGCATTAGAGCAATTCCTCAGTGGAACAGGCTTCCTCAGGAGGTGATGGGCTCTCCTTTGGAGGTTTTCATACAGAGGCTAGATGATCACATTGCTGATTGTGTGAACTTAGACTGATCATGAGAGGGAGGGCAAAAAGGGCTGCATTAGTGCTTAGTTCTCAGGCCCTTTCTTACACGCCCAGGCAAATGCCGATTGCCACTTTGAAGTCAGGAAGCAATTTTTCTCCAGGCCAGTTTGGCCAGGGATCCTGGAGGGGTTTTTTTTGGTCATCTTCTGGGTGTGAAACAGAGGTCACTGAGGGTATGGGGGGAGGTATTTGTGAATTTCCTCCTTTGTGAAGGAGGGTGGACTAGATGACCCTGGAGTTCCCGTTCAGTTCTATGATTCTATGCCCAAGAGATGTAAGGTGCTTTAATGCTCACCGAGAGTCCCCAAATTCTGATAAACAACACTCTATCCAGGCAAAATACTTGTAGCACAAGCAACGTGCAGAGATGAGTTTCTGCAGAGAGCTAATCATTTGCCCAAACTGTCAGGAAGGGCAAGATGGATTGCTATTGCCAAAATATGACCTGGGCCATGAAACATGTGAGATGTGAGCTCCACAGTGATTGGGGGTAAGAGCTCTAGGGGGCAGACTCTGAAAGTCAGGAATGGACATGGGACTTCTAGCCATCTAAGGCAGGAAGAGCTAAAAGATCTGAGCAATCCATTAACTTTGTTCAGTCACATGGTACTCTAGATTGTTAAGCTGCAGTAAGTAAAATCCTTTTCCTTTTTAAGGAAGCAGACTGTGTTCAAATGCCTCCCGTGTCCTTCGCTGCTCTTAAGCATGAGGGAGTAGGAGTTCAGAACATAAGAAGAGCCCTGCTGGATCAGACCAGTGGTCCATCTAGTCCAGCATCCTGTCTCCCAGTGGCCAACCAGCTCCTCTGGACAGCCAACAACAGGGCATAAAGGCCGAGGCCTTCCCCTGATTTTGCCTCCTGGCTGGGATTCAGAGAATGAGTGCCCCTGAATGTGGAGGTTTCCCTCAGCCACTATGGCTAGTAGCCACTGATAGACCTATTCTTCATGAATCTGTCTAATCCCCCTTTAAAGCTGTTTATTCCTCTGGTCATCACTACATCCTCTGGCAGCAAATTCCACATTTTAATCACTCCCTGTGTAAAGCAGTATTTCCTTTTGTCCATCCCGAACCTACTGCCCATCAGTTTCATTGGATGCCCTCTTGTTCTAATATTTTGGAAGAGGGATAAAAAAATCTCTTTGTCAACTCTCTCCACCCCATGCATAATTTTAAAAGCGTTGGGAAACTCTACACTCTGCACATGCCCATAGAACTTTTTACATTTTACATTTTTATTTACTTACCTCTCTGCCATTTTATCCTCACAACATGACTGACCCAAGCTTCCATGGCATGACTTGGGATTTGAACCCAGGTCTCCCAGGTACTAGTCCAGCACTCTTAACCACTACACCACATTGGCTCTGGGCTTAGTTTGGGTGGTAACTGAAGAGAACGGAGCAAGGATGTGCCAAAGTGCCCTCTCAGACACACACAAAACCCCTGCTCTAAGAGAGCTGGGTCCTGTCAAACGTCAATCATGTCTGGTTTGGGCCTAAGTGATAGCTGAACAACTGCCCCCTTCAAGACATAACATCCATAAGCCTCACAGGGGCTTTTGGCGGGAAAAGGTTTATCATTTCCCAGCCAACTTTGCATAGAAAAACTTGCTAGGGTAGCACCCTCTGGATCTGTTCACAGGATTTGTATTCCGCTTTTCAGGTGGAGTCCCTGAATGCACTCACAGTGTTCATGAAATGTCACAAATAAGACCTTTCCATTTGAAAACTCAAATAATAAATAGTCCTATGATAAGAGGTGTGGGTTACAGAAAGAGGACAACAGATTGCAACACAGTACCTAAAGATTTAGTTAAAAATCTTCTTGCATGGAAAACGGGGTGCATGGGAGATATAGAAAAGGCCAGTCTGGGCAGAGGAGGTGTGTGAAACGCGTCAGGTCAAGTCCACTGGCCCTTGTGTGTATGATTTCGGAATTTTTATATGAGGTGTAATTGGGTCCTTGTACATTTTTTTATTCTTTACAAATAAATACATGCATTTTTATATATTATATACATTACAGCTTATATACATTATACATATATACATAAAATTTATACACATTAAAACTATATATATATATATTTGTTCCTAGGTTTCAGGGTTAAGTTTGTTTCCCATTTTTGTTCATAGATATAGAAAAGGCCAGTCTGAGCAGAGGTGTGTGACAACAGTCTTTGCTTCCCCCCCCCCCAATGCTTTCTCCGGGTACATATATACATAAATGCTGTCAAATCACAACTGATTTATGGCAACCACAACAAGGGGCTTTCAGGCAAGTGATTAAGCAAAGAAGAAGAGTTGGTTTTATACTCCACCCTTTACTACCTGAAGGAGTCTCAGAGTGGCTTACAATCACCTTCCCTTCCTCTCCCCACAACACACACCCTGTGAGGTAGGTGGGGCTGAGAGAGTTCTGAGAGAATTGTGACTGACCCAAGGTCACCCGGCTGGCTTCATGTGGAGGAGGAGTGAGGAATCAAACCCAGTTCTCCAGATTAGAGTCCTGCCACTCTTAACCACTACATTTGTATGAGCCTGTCTCTGCAATGGTCTCCCATCCAAGTACTGACCCTGCTTAGTCTCTACAGCCTGCCAAGATTAGCCCATACCATGCCACCTTCCGTCTCCTTCTGTCTCAGTATAGTTGGTTTTAACAGCCATTGTGATGTAGAGTTCAGTTGAAGAAGACGCAGATGTGTTAGCAATGGCCCATTCTGTATCTAGCATTTGCTCCACTGTTTTACCAAACCCACAATGGAACAAAAATTCCCCTCTGCATTGCATGCCACTTGATTGTCGGATCTTATGGCAGTGTCCAGACTGCATGCCCCTTTCATTTCATTTGATCTCTCGGTTTTATGGAACTGTCTGCGTAGATTTATGGCTGTTTTATAGCCATTCAGGGGTGACTTTACAGCCAGTATGGTGTTGGCCCGGGGTATTTGAATGTGGTTTTGAGCTGCATCTTTTTCTGTTCCAGTGTGGGTTTGGTAAAACAATGGGGCGAATGCTAGATGCAGAATGGGCCCCAGCCTTCATTCGCCTCCCTCTTTCTGCTAGCTCTCTGGCATCGAGCAGTTTATCTTCATTAATTGGTAACCACTGTCCAGTAATGAAGTGTTGGTGGGAAAACGCAGAACATCCTTGCAGTGAAAACTGTGAAGTGATTTGCTGCATATCCAGTTTCGTAGTGTGTCACATCGTGTTGAAAAGGCCCCTTCGTCATTCAAGTAAGTACAAAAGCCTTTGGCTCTAATGTTAAACCTGCAATAAGATATGAAGAGAGTCAATGTGTTGTTCTTAATATGCACAAAGATAGTCAATGACTGCATCCAATGTTTTCTTTTGCACACTGAGGAGTCACGCCTAAGGAAAGAATCTTACTCTAGAAAAGTTCCAGTGCAAAAAACCCTCCCAACAGAATCAAGTCACTGAATCCCCAGTCCCATTCACATGGCAGCCATTTTCTCTGCAGTGGCCATTTCCTCCCACACCCCACCCCACCCCAGTCTGTTCAACAGACTTGAAAGGGAAATTGCTGAATTGCAAATTATTACAACACTCAGAACAATAAATACCCCAGGATTTAACAGGGATATTTGTTTCTTATCTCACTACATATGCTAATCTCATTCGGTCCTTACATTTGTATTCTCACCAGAAATAAAGCTGAACAAATGGTGACCCTATAAACTAAGCTTGTTATTCCTGTTTGGTCCTTGCATCTGTTAAACATCTTCGTTATGTTGTATACTAATTTGCTGCTTACCCTCTGCCTATATGTATGGACTGGTAACTTCCATTTCACTGCATCTGAAGAAGTGCGCGTGCACACGAAAGCTCATACCCTGAATAAAACTTTGTTGGTCTTAAAGGTGCCGCTGGACTCGAATTTTGTTCTGTTGCTTCAGACCAACACGGCTACCCACCTGAATCTACCCCTTTCTCAGTAATCCAAGGCCTATCATGGGGATGTCTACAATGTTAAGGCACATTACCAGTCCTTTTGTCAAACAGGAAAGACAGATCCGTAGCAGGCCTGTAGCTAATGCGGGGCCCGCTGGGCCCAGCCTCCCCATGTTTCTTCTGGGCCCCCTCCCTCCTGTGCTTGGCTGCTTTTCCCTTCCGGCTGCTTCCCTCCCGGCTTCTCGAGGTCCGGATCAGCTCAGCTGCAGAGCGCATCAGCTTCACTCCTCCCAGCACCTTAAGCGACACATGCGCTTTGGGACTTGGCAATTTAAAAAGCAACAGAATGAGAGGCGCAACCGACTGCCCCTTTCCTGGTTTAGGAAGGTGCGGAGCCCCCCCCCCCCCAACAAGCTTACCTCAAACACATGCGGTGCAGCCTGACTATAGGGGACGTTGTTTGGAAATAAGTCCTAGGGCGATTCTGCATCTAACGTTCCCCCCACATTTTCTCAACGGGGAGGTAAAAGTGCCGGCGGAGCAGCAGTAGGCCCAGTGGGGGCGAGGCGTCCCAGGGGAGGTGGCCGTCTGGGAAGTCGCCTCCTGTCTGTCCATGTCAGTCCACCCCGAGAGAGAGGGAGGTGGGGAAGCTCGGCAGGGCGCTCGCTGGTGGCTAGTCGCCCATGGAGGCGGAGGGAGAGCGCCCCGGGGTGCCCGCAAGACCCGAGTGTTCATCTGCGGTGTGAGGGCTTTCCCTGCTGTTGGTGGCAGTGCTCTCCTCCCCCCTCAGTTGCAGCCAGTTCCACCAATTAATTATTTATTAAGCTCCCCCTCCCCCAAAACTCCTTAGCTACAGGGCTGATTTGTAGTAATCGGAATCTAAGTCCTCAACAATACGAATGGGGGGGTGTAGTGTCCGCTGACCGCCACCGGAGGTCAGCGCACATGCCCAAGCTTCAGTCCGAAACAACAATGGGGACTAGGATCCTAGTCCCTCCACTGGGGAACCAATGGGATCCTTGGCGGGAGATTTGAACCCACCAATGGTGACCAGGGGCGGTCCCCAGGAGTGTATATAGTTGGCCTGCCGGCCGTTTGTCCCTTTGTCTTGTTGTGTGCTAATAAAGCGTGCCATGCACCACGTCGTTGTCTGTCGTTCATCCATGCGGCTACCCACTACATAACAGTGGCGACGAGGATGGGATTCAGCCGCAACTGAGCCAGGCCGTCGCGAGGGACTAGGAGGACGCGAAGCCGCCGATCCGATGAGCGATCCAGCGAGCAACGGAACCGCTCCTCCCGTACCCCCTCCGACGCGCACAATGGCGACCGCACCGGGGCTTGGGCTGCTGCAGCCCTTCGACATAGCCCGCCCGCAGGACTGGCCCTCCTGGGTACAAGGGGCCAAGTCCGCGCTGGAATTTTTTGATGTGACCGACGAGGGCAAGAAGCGGGGGTTCCTCCTGGCCTCCTGCGGCACCGCCGTGGTGTCCCTGGCCAGACGACTACTCTCCCCCACGGACCTTGGCGATTGCACGTTCGAGCGGATCATCGATGTGGTGCAACAACACTTCGCACCCAAGCCCACTGAGCTGGCCTGCAGGGTAACGTTTTACACCCGCCATCAACAGGCCAAGGAGACCGCCGCGGAGTTCCTCGCAGAGCTGCGACAACTCTCGGCGGATTGCAACTTCGGAGAGCACCTGGAGGATGCCCTCCGCGACCACTTCGTCGTGGGCCTGCGAGAGATGAAGCTGAGGCGGAAGCTGATGGAGAGAGAGAAAGTCACCACAGCAGAAGCCCTCGCAGCGGCAGTCGCGTGGGAGCGGTCGCACATCACCCCCACCGCAGCCCTCCAAGTCGAGTCAGATGACCCAGAAGAACAGGACGTCCACCGGGCCTACGGAGGGGCCCGGCAGCGCACCCAAGCTCCCCAGCGAGCCCCAGCGCCGACCGCTAGCGCCGACCGCCAGCGTCCCAGCGCATCGT